ATAGAAAACAATCTTTCTATGATTAACGATAATGTACCTACACATTATGTTTCAAAGTTTAATATCCCAAGACTCGTGCTAATCACTTTTGTTTTATATCAGTAAGACTTTGAATTTTTGAATTTTTTAATAGGAAATGCATCATGAAACAGATATTAATGAAAAAGATCTTCAACGTGCATTATTACCATTAGCAATGGGTAAACCCAGTCAACGTATATTTATCAAAGAATCAAAAACAAAAGATATTAAATCAAATGATAGATTTATTGTTAATGATTCATTTACATCAAAATTATATCGTGTAAAAATAAATCCAATAACACCAAAAACTGAAAGTGATCCTGAACGACAAGAAACTCGAAGTAAAGTTGAAGATGATCGAAAACATGAAATCGATGCAGCTATTGTACGTACAATGAAAACAAGAAAAACAATGTCACATACACAATTAGTTGCTGAAGTAAAAATTTCATATATATATATATATTTCTTTTCTATAATTCAATCTATATTTTCTTTATATAGGTTACTCATCAACTTAAAGCACGTTTTATGCCCAGTCCTGGTTTTATAAAAAAACGAATTGAAAGTTTAATTGAACGAGACTATTTATCACGATTATCCGAAGATAGGTAAGTCAAATGTACACAGAGCAACTCATAAATATTTAGATGATAAAGAAAATAAAATATCTATAGTCTACTTTAATTAATCAAATGAATGTGATCAAATTAGTCTTGTTCGTTAGAGTTAAAGAAAATTTTATGATCTATAGCAATTCTTCTTACTATGAGTCTTATAACTCAAGGAAGGAAGATATCTATTCACATGACTAATCTATCCTTATGTAATGCATCTATTTACGTTATAAATTACATCGAATTCTATTGAAGTATTTGAAAGCTGTGAATATTTTATATGATGATAAGTTAGTCAGATCGTAAAAAAAAAATTAGATCAATTGATTAAAGCAAATTCGAGATAGTGAATATTTTTATCATCTAGTCATATATAAGCTATCTTGTACATTTATATATTATTGATTTCTATACTATTTTTGTTTTTTTTTTTTTATAGGAAAATGTATAATTATGTAGCCTAAGCAAACAAAGCATCATTTTTTTTTGTGGTTGTTTTCTTTTTTCGGTTATCATTTGTGAGATTGTATTCATTCATATTTTGTCTTCTAATTAATGTTCATCACATCATCCATGACAATTTTGCACTAATCATATGACACAGAACTGTCTTCCCTTGTGTCTTTTTCTTCTTCACTTGTTCATTCTATTTTCTTTTTCTTTTCTTTTCGTCTTTTGTTCTGCGTTTTTTTTTTATTTCTTAAAATTTATCTGAGCCTTTTCTTTTTTTCTCAAAAAAAAAAAAAAAAAAAAAATATATATATATATATATATATGGCTCACGTTTGTATGTGTGCGCGCGCATGTAACTCTATGTGTTTATGTGTGAATGACACACCATGATTGAACAATTTTTGAATGACTATTCAAAAGACCTTTGTCGGTGTTAAACATAAAAGTAGGTTTTTAAAACGAAAAAAAAAAACAAATTTGGAAATAAAATATTATTTATCAAAAATCTTACAAAACAACAATCTATGTCTTCATGTATATATCAATGTACTCCTTCAAAACAATAAGATAAAAATAACTTTTATATTAAGGTGCAAAAGGGGCAAAGTTTGAACGAAGTTTTTTCTTATAAATGACCTGCTAGAGCTTGACGAGCTGAGTAAGAGTATGTATTTTATTATTTTTCTGAATACTGTTGGATTAAAAAAATCGAGTTTTTTCGATAGCCCTGACTGATCGGTTTTTCTCTAAAAGTACACCTTTTATACTATAGCAAAACTTCGCCTGTGAGACTAATTTTTAAAACCATAGTCTCACAAACCCAGCCTTTCATGGTGAATCTAAACATTTCAGTTTCCAAGAATGAAAAATATAATTTTAGAAACAATCGATCATTCAGCATAATTGAAAAAAGTTCATTTTTTTATTGAAAGACATTCAAAAGAAATAATAATAAAACAGATATTCTCACTTAACTCGTCGATTTCTATCAAAGCATGTATTTAAAAAAAAAACAAAATTTTGCTTGCCTTTTTGCATCTTAGATAATCTAGATACAATGTAAAATTCAAAACCTTTCAACAATGAACTAGACTCAAGAGAACAAAAGCCATCCGATAAACAACCGCTGTGGTTTGCGGCGAAAGAGTAAAGCTTGAAATGGTCAGTCTGACCGTTTATATTGTGGCTTATAGTTCGTACCTTTTTTTCATCGAAAATGATTAAGTCAAAGAAATTTCTTATAAATTTGCTTCTTTTTTTCGAATAAAATAATGAAAAATCGAAATGCATTATGGCAAAATATTTGAAGCATAAAAATATCATATTTTCATGATTAACAGATGAGTATTTTACGATTATATTATGTGTATTATTTGCTCATAACATAAAAATTTGGCTCATTGATCCATATCGATACATATTAGCAGCTGAATGATTTTTATGCATCACTCCTCTTTCACCTTTACTTCAATGTTTATTAAGGATTATCAACCGAAACGATACAATCAAAAAAAAAAAGAAGGTAATTTTTTATTGCACACATGTACATATATATATGGCAATCCTAATCGCTCACCTTGTATTATTAAACGTAAAAAGTGTCTACGGGTGATTGGTTCGTTTATTTATTGAGGCTTTTTTTATCATCAGTACATAAAATATTTTTCTCAGTTATTTAGATATTATTCTATCGTTGATTTTCGATAAATGGCTCTAATATCAACAGCTCCAGTTAAACTTTCATCTGATAATAAAGAAAAATTAGATAAATTAGTAAAAGATTTGAAAAAACTTGAATGGGAAACTGGTGAATATTATTTTCATAATTTTGTTGATTATTATCAATTACCGCAAATAATACGTGTTGAACAAGGATGGAATACAAATTTAGAAAAAAAACAATGGATGTATTTACAAACATTATTTGATCGTTATTTAATTATTGCTTCACCATTATCATCACCTGGTAAACCTAGTTCATCAAAATCAAGATATCTTATACCAGATTGGTTTCAAGGTGAATCTCGTATTTTATCAAAAGAGCCAATACTTAAAAAACGTTGGTGGATTTTTCAAGGTACATTTGAATTATATCGATTTGATTTACCACGTTCAATAAAAGTCCTTGCTGATACACCAGCACATATGCGTAAAAAAGAGGCAGCATCAACTCATGAATGGGACAAAGTTGTTTTACGTAAAAGTGCTCGTCTTAGTGTTGTACGTCGTGAACAATATCAATCACGTATTAAAAATGATAAAGGTGAATTAATTGCAAGTGAACCAAAAGACGCATTTGTACTTCAAGATCCAAAAACTGGTCATGAATTTATTTTGCCACCTGGTGTACCATTACGTTTTGCAACATTAATTGAAGATAATGAATTACATACACAATATAAAAATCATGATGGAACATTTACATTTCCAGAAATAATGATGCGTTATGATTTTCCACTTGATATTGAAATAACAACACATTTACCGACTGATGTACCTGATTTTAAACCACAAGTTCGATTAGAAAAATTCTGCGTTGCAAAATCTGTTATAGGTTTTCTTTTCGGACAAGATGAACCAAAAATAATTGAACTTTCACCATTAACACAATTTACATTACATTGTGCTAAGTATGAAAAAAATTAAACAAAAATTTTTATTTATTTTATTTTTTCTAAATATGAATATATGTATATATTAGATGTTTAACATTTGGTTTACCACGTGAAGGTGAAAATACTGAACCGGATAAAAAAAAAGAAGAAAAATTTGATGAAAAAGAATATCAACGTTATGAAGATATACGAAGTAAAATGAATATGATTTTTGATGATGCAGCAGAATATCAAAGAAGTAAAATTCTATTAGCAACACATGAAGAGGTTTGTTAAAATTTATTATCTATTTATTAGAAATTTTCTATCATTTTTTGAATATAATAGCTTGATTGTGTTGAAACAGCTTTTGAAATAAGTGTGAAAATGAAAAATGAAGAAGATCGACCAGTGGACACAGCTTATTTCACATTAGAAGAAGCAATTAAAGTTGTTAAACAAATAAAAGAAGATATTCCATTTCCTAAACCACAACCAAAACGATTTACTGTTCATGCTAGTGCTGATCCAAGTAAATAGAAAACAAAAATTTTCTTTTTTAGCTTTAAAAAAAATATTATCTAATTTTATATTTCAGGTAATCCATACAATGAAGTTATTGATTTTGAAGATATGGACGCATTAACCGAAGCTATTGAACCAAATCCACCTGAAGCATCAAAAAAAGAAAGTTCAAAATCGAAATCATCATCGAAAAAATCATCACGTGATAAACCTCAACAACCAACAAATCAAATAACTAAACGTCCTGCTCTTGTTGTTCAACAATTACCACCGCCAATGATTTTGCCACCGTAATTTCCTTTGCGTTTTTTTTTTCCTCCTATTAAAATTTTAATCGAATATATTGTTTTTTTCGATTTTTCATAGTGAAGCATTTGAAAAAACTGTTAAAGCCATTCCAGATAAACTCTATACAAGTTTTATTCCAGCTACTGTTATCAAGTATGTTAATGGATTATTTTATATTTAATAAATAATTTTATTTTGTTTTTTTTTTAAATAGAAAAACGGATAAAAAAGAAAAGGAAAAAGAAAAAGACAAAGACAAAGAAAAGGAAAAAGACAAAGACAAAGAGAAAAGTAAAGACAAAGACAAAGAAAAAGATGCTGAAAAAAAATCTAAAAAAAGTCACAAATGATCATGGAAAAACAACAAACCAACATCGAACTATCTTTGATTTAGTTTTATGATTTTTTACTAAACAAAAAATTGCTTAATAAAGTCGAAATAAATAAAATAAAGAATAAATAAACCATAAGAAATAAAAAAAAAAAACAATATTCATCATTAATCATCATGTTTTAATGGTGGTAAGCGACGTGGAACGGGATATATCGAGGGTTGAAATGAAACAATCGATGATTGTGTCAACGTTTTTAATAATACATCTCGACGTGGTTCAAGACGAGAAACTGTTTCAAAAGATTTCATAGGCATACGAAATTTCGATATGTTAGTATTCTAGTAAAACAAAGAAAAATTTCACTTTTAATTAAAAAAAAAAATAAAAGGAACTAGAGAAAACATTACCTCAATAGAACATAAATTTGTTAATTCATCTCGATTAGTATTGATAATTTTTTGTCTTGTTAATTGTTCTTGAATATGAGATTTTGATAATGTTGGATCAATATAGGTTATATTAATCTTGTTTTTTTTTTTTATAAAAGAAAAAAATGATTAAACGAAAAAAAAAGAAACCAAATGAGAAAATTCTTACTTGATTTAATTTTGTTCGTAACAAAAATGTTTTTTGTTGAATAATAAACTAAAACATAGAAAGAAAATAAAAGCAAAAATCATTGATTTAAATCGATTATAAAATTTTTAAATTATACCATAAATATACAATATGTTAAAATTTGAATAGTTATTGTCATTGCTTTGAGAATAGTTATTTGAAAATTTGGTATAATATCAAGAATATTCAATAAAATAACAATTGCATTAGTTAAAAACCTATTTGAATTATAATTATTATCAAAGACAAAAGAAAAAATTTTTTTTTTCTTATACCAGAAAGTAAAAATAATAAACGAATAGAATGTTTTGATAGATTTTTTAGTTGTTAATATAAGAGATACAATAAACCAAAGACAAGTTAAAAGATACATTATCATTTGAATATAATCACAAATAATGAAGATAATTTCATTAATTAATACTCGATCGGTATACTTAACGAAAAAAAAAGCGAATTTATAACATAATGATAGTTTCATCAACTTACTATCGTTATAATAATTAAAATAACTATCTGCACATGTATATATAATAGAATAATCAGTATTGTTTCTGTTAGTGTTTTGTTTCTTAAATTAATACGTATAATTAAATAGCCTTTTGCACAGAGAATTAACATAAAAAGACACAATATGGAAGCACATAAATGAAACAATCGAGCAAAAAATAATAATAATTGACATCCAAATACATCAGTATTTCCTATTAATGCAAATATAAAATTTTCAATAAAACATATTAAACTATAAAGACATGAAAATAATATTGAAATAATATATAACTTAATTATTAAACAAGGTTTATTTTTTGATGAATCTAGATAACAAAAAATAAAATAATTTTTTTCTTTTAACCATAAATTCAAATACAAAACTTACATATATATTTAAGAACAATTAATAAAATTATAGTATAGATAATTGTACTAATAATATATAATTGCAATATTCCTGTAGAATTTAGAAAAAAAAACAACATTATTTAATAAATATGAAAGATTCGCTTACCTTGTTCATCGTTAGAAAAATGCTTCATAAATAAATTATGTCCATTTGTTAAGATTAATTTATATGTAAAAGATAAATCCTATTTATTTTAATAATTCATATATGTTTAACGAAAAAAAAATAAAAAGAAAGTCAAAAATATATTTACATTCGTATTTAAACTTGAATTACATGTACTTAAAATAAAATACATTTGACCAATAGATGTAAAAGATGATGATAAAATCTCTAAGTTTGTTTCATTGTTAATTGAATTTAATTGTAATTCTTTTTTTAAACAAATTTTAGATAAATTATTTTTAATTTCGTTCCATTCATATTTATTTAAAATAAACAATTTTATTGTATTATTATTAAATGACTGTAAAACAAAATTTTGAAATTTTACTTTTCTCAAAAGAATGAAAACTATATTCTACAAATCTCACATTTAAACTTATATCAATATGTCCATAAATTGGATGAAAAGAAAATTTTGTTAAATATAACCAAACCTATAATATTAATATTGAAATAAGAGACAGAAAAACTCAAAAAAAAAAAAAAATAATATTTCTTTTACTCACAATATTTTTATTGATAGTACCAAATATTATCTTGCTAGAAGTTTCATTTAATAAATAAACTATTGTTATGAACAATAATAAGAAAAAGTTCATCGTTTTCAGTTATTTGATTTTTTTTTTCTGTTTTCAATGATTGATAGACAACATCGATGCCAATGCACATCGATTTTATTCTCTCGATTTCTTTCTTTTTGTGTGCCAGGTAGAAAAGAAAAACGAGTAAAGAACGAACAAAGAAATAGATAAATGAAGGACGATTTTCAAGACATACACACGTACGATGCGGAAATAATATAGTATACATCCGAGTTTCATTTATTAACATGCAAGTTTTGTTTTATTAGAAATTCAATATAAAAAATATTGTTTTTTTTTGAGTTCTAGATGAAGTAACAAAATATAGACTATAGAATAATTTATTATATTAAATAGAAAAGAAAAAGATAATATTCACATTCTTTTCATTAGATGCTGATCAAAATTAACTTTCACTGGTATTCAACAAGACTAGACGATGAAACATGGTTGATTACTTTTTGTATATAGATGCAAAATCAAAGAAAAAGGGACATGACCATCTTCAATTTCAGTTTGATTCGTTTAAAAGGTTTATTTTTTTCAACAAGTTATTTTTTTCGCGAGTATAGGTAAAAATATTGTGTCTCTCAACTCATAGCTAATTAATTAAAAAGTAGTTAACTAATAACTCCTTAATTATATGACGAAAAAGTCCAAAAATTTCAGAATAGACTCCACGCCATACACTACATCAATTGTGAAATTTTCAGCGACATCGAGCTTTACAAAATTGTCTTCCTACAACGGAATTTTCTAGAGATCTATTCTTATCCCAGAACGTGACTTTTTTTTTCTTTACTGTAATCTCACAATCCTCAATAAGAATTTTTATCATTTAGAATTGGTTTCTGGACTTTTCATTCATTTACAAGAGGATGTTTGTTTTCTATATTCATACTCAATCATGTCGTTAACGACGAATAAACCTGATTTTCTAAAATAATCTAAGCACGAGCAGGAAGCAATTTGTGTAGAGATTTTGTAGCTTGAAAAGCTTTCTACAAAATGCACTATTCAGTTTTCATAAGTGCTCTTTGAACTTGAAGAATATGCTAATGAAAACATATTTAATGCAAGCCTTTGTCATGTCACTAATCACGGTTTTTCAATAATAACTTAGTAGAATCAAGGTGTATAGGATTAAACTCTTTCAGAATATTTAGAATAACTCAACATACAATTGTAACCTAAAAGATAGCTAAAAGTAATGGTCTAGCCAAGGGATATCACCATTTCATTTTGCAAACTCACATCATTAACGAATGAAGTCTCCAATAACGACTACCTTTTCATCTTAATTTTACTTACAATTTCATTCGAAATTTCTGTTTTTTTTTAGAAAACCAACGTCAATATAACTTCTAAATGTGATTCTATTCTTCAGTTTTTATGTCTGCCACAGAATTTACATGTGGTTAAAAATAAATGAAATTCAACATTATTGTTTTTTTAAAGACTATAACAGTTAGAAGTCGAAAGTTGAAATATGCATGCCTTGTGTTTTTTAGCGGTTTTCCTAAGTAGATCCTTACACAACTGAGCTCATTGACTTTTTACATCGATGCATAGTCATTTCGATTGTAGCTTCGAACAACCAGAATGAAATTTCAGGTCACTCTTTCGTACTCTCTCTCATAATTAACAAAGGGGGTTCATTTCTTTCTGCTATTGCACAGAGAAAAAAAAGAATTTCAATTATTTATTTACTATCGAATAAAACCGACAACGACTGACACGTTTTCTTTTCCATATGGAAAAAGAAAACGATTGCTCTATTCATACACCATTCGTAAAACAAAGATAAAATTTTTCAAATCAAATATTTGATAATTCATTGTATAGATAAAAAAAAAAGGAAAAACTTCTAACAATGACGGGTATTAATAGGCTTCCTTTACATGGAGTGAAAATCCTAGACTTAACACGTGTTTTAGCCGGTGAGATACATTTGTGGCGGAGTTTTTCTCTTCTTTTTTAATTAATAGTTGATATGAATTTTAAGGACCTTTTGCTAGTATGATTTTGGCTGATTATGGTGCAAATGTAATTAAAGTTGAAAAACCTGGTAAATAAAAAAGAATTTGTTATCAGATATAGATAGATCTCTTAAGTATAACTCTCGAAGGTCACGGCGATGATACACGAACATGGGGACCACCGTATATGGAAGATCAAAGTGTCTATTTTTTAAGTATTAATCGAAATAAACAAAGTATTGCTGTTGATATGAGTCGTCAACCAGGTCAAACAATTATTCGTGAAGTAATATTAATTAATTTAAATATAAATAAATTCTTATGATTATTATTAAATTAGTTAGCTAAAAAAAGTGATATTTTAATTGAGAATTATTTACCTGGACAATTAAAGAAATTTGGTCTTGAATATAAAGATCTTCAATCGATTAATGATAAACTTATCTATTGTTCAATAACAGGTTTGAATAAAAATTTTATTTTTTTTTAATATAATTATTAATTAATATTACTTAAGGTTATGGAAGTAAAGGTCCGTATTCAAAAAGACCAGGTTATGATTTAATGATTCAAGCATTAGGTGGAATGATGAGCATAACAGGAAGTTCGGTAAGATTGAGTTTTCTCTGTTTGATTAATCGTATTGTTTTATAAATATATAAATTAAAAGTAGTACCTAGGAACCTGTCAAAGTTGGTGTTGCTGTTATTGATTTGGCTACTGGTTTATCAAGTGTTGGAGCTATTACGGCTGCTTTATATCAACGTGAAAAAACTGGCAAAGGAACAAAAATTGAATGTTCATTACTTGAAACTCAAGTATATACAGTGCCTTCTAAAATTTATCATACAGATTTAATTTTGACTTTTATTATGCGCAATGGCTTCTAGCATAAAGATGCCGAATACTGATTTTGGTAGAGAAATTTGTTTCCAATAAAGATTTGAGAGAAATGAAATCTTCACTGTACTTTAAGAAATACCTATTATTTCATTTCAAAATCATTTATTTCACTGTTTCCTGACTAAGTTTTGATAGGAGTATTATAGAGACCTGTGATTTTCATCATCGAAGAGAGAAGACACACAACCAACGAAATATATCAAAATTTGCTTCGTTAGCATTGGTCAATAAGTTGAACTCTCGGTGAAAATTTTCGCAGACGATGTTCTGAAGCTATTCCCTTTTCTATTCTGACTTTTCATAGAACTAGCCTATAGAAAAAGCTCTTCTCTTTCGGTCTACGCAAGATCGATATTCATAGCTCATACTGTTCGAGAGTTATTTGGCTTTTCTTGAAACCTCCGATGCCAGCCTATGGACCTTGGATCAGCCCGAAAAACATCTAGACACGCGTTATTCACTGTTCTGAAGCTAATGATGATATTTATTTCAGGTTCGGATAGATCTGCCTCTGTTATCTGAATATTTCTGAAATTATGTGATAAGCCTCCAGGTAACAAACAAATCCAGCTTTCAGAAATATTGTGATAGCAGAGTCAGATGATTTTGAATAAAAAACCAAATATCATCATTCCACTCAGCATGATGAATTACGTCTATCTCGCTGCTTTTTCGGGTGATCCCAGACCAATAGGCTCAGATTGAAAATCTCAGGAAAAGTCTTATAACTCTCGAATGAAACAAGCTAGGAATGCGGACCTTCCAGAGATCAACAGAAAATAGCTTTAGAATATTGTTTTCGAAAATCTTCGCCAAGAGCGCACCTAACTCATCAATGATCGAACATTCAAATTTTGATATACTTCGATGGCTCTGAGTTTTCTCTGTTGAACGATGGAAAATGCAGGTCATTATAATGTTTCTAGCAAAAGCTATTAAAAAACAGGGAGGATTTCACTTCTCTCAAATATTTGTTGTAAGCAAATCTCTTTATTGAAATCACTATTTGACTTCTTTGTGCTAGTTACTATTGTGGAAAACAAGTAGAAATAACATCTGTATGATGAATTTTTGTAGACATCATATATAAAAATATCGATCGAAAAATTGTTTGTAAATGAAAAGAAGAATTATTTTGATCTTTTTAGCTTTCTCTTCTATCACATCTTGCTGCTAATTATTTAAATACTGGTTTGGAAGCTCAACGTCAAGGTACAGCTCATGCATCTATCGTTCCTTATCAAGCATTTACATGTCAAGATGGTAAACAAATAGTTGTAGGCGCTGCAAATGATAATTTTTTTCATGAACTTTGTGCAGTTTGTTATTTTAATCATTGACGAAAGCAAAACTTTCAACATACATTTTCTTTTCTATACAGATTATTAATTCACCTGAACTTACAACGAATGATCTATTTAAAACTAATAAACTTCGTGTTGCTAATAGAGAACAATTACTTTCTATTCTAACAAAAAAGTAAAATTTATTTATTCACACAAGTAGTATATTTGTAATATTTTAATTAATAGATTTTTAGAAAAACCATTAGCTGAATGGATTAAACTTTTTCAAAAATCAAACAAAATTCCATTTGATCCTATCAATAGTATGAAAGGTGTTTTTGAAAATGAACAGGTCGATTTATTAAAAACAAAGAATAATAAAAAAAAAAGAAGTGTAAAAATTTCTTTATTTAGGTTACTTTTCTTAAACAAGTTCTTGAAATGAAGAATCCAAATAGAAACAAATCGATTCGTGTTGTTGGTAATTATAATATTGTATACGAAATAGTTAAATGAGAAATAGCAAGAAGATTTTCTTTTTTTAAGTGACTTTTTAAAATAATAAAAAGAGATATTTAATCTATAGTTAAATTACTAGGTATTTATCTCAATTTGCTTTTTGGATCTAACGATATCCACATTCCGAAATTTTCAATTCAAGGCTTTAAATCAGTATCAAATTTAAGTCGTTCCGAAGTTGTAAGAGACACTAATCCATTATTTATATTCTGTGATTAACAACCTATACACATTTCTAACGAGACAAGTTCTTCAATGGATAAATTGCTTTTGAGTTAAGACGCTATGTATTAGAGAGATCTAAATAAACTATGGATACTCTGAAAAGTTCGTGTACTTAGATTATTACTGCCGAGATACTACAGTTTTGTGGTAGTTTTTAAATAAACATTGTGATTCGGAAAAATCAGTTTTCAAATTTTGATGTGAAATTTTCGTAGAGATAAAACTTAACGAGAATAGTTTCTCCTGATTGTTTTAGGTCTTGTCGCTGTTCCGATGCTAAGATTCAGCTATTATAATAATGTGTCTTTTACATCAGTCTTATCAACCAGTAGATTCAATGATATTGTTTCAAAGTAGAACTAAATCAAAAGAATTGAAACTTTCACAATAAACTATTAACAGTATTGATTTCAAAAATATCGTACAAATGCAGTATCTTCACAGTAGTAATTTCAATGTCCCACACCCAGACCTGCCAGAAGTTCAAAACTTTCTCAATAATGCTATGTTATAATCTTTTTTTAACAACTAACTATAACCAATAAGAATAATAAGTAGAGTTTGGTGAGCAATGAAAAGTCTCCAAAAGATTTTCGCCTATGAGTGTTACTGGTTGAATTTTGAATTGTTCAATTATTTTCCATGCACATCGAAGTAATGGTGAATACTTTTTGATCACTATTATAAGGTAGAAGACTGTAAATCTTTCTTAACAGTGAACTTATTAATGACTAGGTTCTCTAGTACCATCGCCATTAGAACGTAAACCGTTTAACTTCATGATTTTCACATGAAGCGGAGTGTACACTATTCAGCAGGACGATGGATGATTGTTTTTCGTGAGAAAACCATGGCAAAATCTCACGAAATTTTGAGATTTATCATCTGAGAACTTCTTACGATTACAACGTTAGAAAGTCTACTGA